CTTTCACTGACAGCCAAATTATTTCTTCCTAAACTTGAGATTCAACAGTTCAAAAAGAGTCATTGCTTTATTTAAAAAAAGCAGAATCTAATACAGAAAGACTGTTTACAAACTGCAGTGATGTGATCACAATTTCCTATTCCTAAAATAATGATTTGGAAACTTATTTCAAATTTTTTAGACTTTGTCAATTTTTCAATTTGTTTGTATGCTGAAGATGAAAGCCACTTCTAACAGGTTTTTTTTTTTATTTTATTTTTCTTTCATTTATTGCATGAGATTTGAGAATGGAAATTCTGATGTTCTCTTGCATTCTATCAAAAATTCCTGCACTAATTTGTACTTCTCAGCAGAGATGCAAATTTTGGATTTGTACCAAAAATTATCCTGGATTCATATCATTGCATTTATCATTAAAACTGTCTATGATATGTTGTGCAAAATCAAAACTTCTTGTTAACATTTAAAAAAAAAAAAAAAAAAAATTAATAATAATAATCTAATGTTTCTGAAGAGATGGAGAAGTAGTTCAGGCCAAGAACATTTCAGCACCCCTCCTGTATGTACATATAAGTGCATAACGTTTTTTACAGTGAATATAGATACAATACTGATTCTAGACAAAGGGCCAATTGGTTTGTTGATTGTGTTTAGTAGGATATCAACCTATGTGTTCTTAAATACCAAAATCTATTTTGAACACAATTTTATGGCTTCAACTAAATATATTTTGAATGCAATTGCATATCTTCAACAACAGATAAAATTTATTGTTGGTATGTTTACTATAAACAGGTGTCATTGTTTTTTTTTTTAAATATAAATAGGTATCGTGGTTAATTTTAAAAAAAATATAAATAGGTATTGCTGGTATTTTTACTATAAAAATGTATTTTTATGCTTTCATAGTTTTGCTTTTGTTTGGTGTTTCACTATTTCCCTATAGCTGGGACCCTAACAGGTGCTACCAACCCAGGTCAAGGTTGACCTAGTAACAACAACAATTAAGAGGTGGTTCCATGTTCCTGAAAACCTTCAATATCCTAATCAAAGGCCTTGCAGCCAGATGTAGTTTATTGTCATACCCAGGAAAAAGAAGTGACACTTTGAGACAGAGTACAAATATTCTGAGCCTAGGTAGAGATACCAATCCATACATAAATAATACCATTATTTTTGACAGGTACAATGGTAGTATTTTAGAAATCTCTAGGTATCAATTTTTTTTTTTTCACACTAGCTTCTAAATTTATGCTATGCCCTCCTTCCACCATGATGCAAATGTTATATCACAATGGATATTCTTGGAAGAATTGTACAGGAGGAAGTATTTCAAAACGTATAAATCTATTCAGAATCCCTAGTGATTGGAATCATTTCTTTCTTGTGGCTTGCATTCGAAATTTTGGTCAATACCAGGATTTTGGATGCCAATTCTTTCAAAACTGATAAACTGTACTCCCCCTGGTTATAATATATTCCTGCATCCCTACCCCAAGTTTTTCACAAACTAACCCTTGTGCCAACCTCAGCTAAGTTTCTCAACAAAGGGTAAATGAAAATGACTTTTCAATTTCCATTAAATTGAATTCTTTACAAAGTGGTCAAGTTGAATCTGACAAAAGCCTTAAAAGTCTTCAAATAAAATATTACTTTTCTCATCAGTTTTCAACTACGTCAAATTTGGAAATGATTTATGCCTCATTAATCATTAGGTCAATACATTCATTGATTTTGGATAGAAATATTTTATATTAGAATATTGATTTTAGGATTCATTTAACTGGGAAGGTCAGAAACTAAAGGGATTCAAAAATACACATACAAAATATTATTGGATACAGATTTCCTTCCAATAATAAAGAACAAGTGTCAAGTGCATCTTTGTATCACATCCAAAATCTTTTGACTCTTTTTCCAAATTGTCAACCATATTTAATATTAGCTAGAGAAAAAAAAAGTTTATCAAATAAAAATAAAAGACAATTTTCTTTTTCATTTTTAATGTTGACATTATTGAACAATATATTTAGCCTTTTGATTTGCTTTCAAGCAACTTCATACTTCCATAAGCTTTTATCTTCTCTCAACAAAAGAATAAACTTGGTGCTTTTTGCAGTCTTATAGAGAATTAACATTTTTCTTTTTATTAAGAGTGTTCTCTGAAGAGCAAAATGTGCAATACTTGGTAATTACAGTAGAGAAGTGAAAACTTTTCTAATTAAGATCTAACAATTTTTGTTTGGTCACCACAGTAACAAAAAAAAAAAAAAAAAAAAAAAACAGAATATTATGCCCTTTCTCCTATCAAATTCAGGATCCTTTCTTTTTTTTTGTCAATTGCTGCCTTCAATTAGTCTAATTGGAAGCAGTAACCGTTTAGATCACTTGGTCCTGCTTCTGCGGAAGTAGCTCATAGGAGAGGATTTCCTTCCAATTTCATCAGTGACATAGAATCACATTTGCTATGGTTAGCAGTGGTTTATTTTGTTTGTCCCTGAAAAGCTTTGAATATTTCTGCAAAGTATCCACTTTTTATTATCCATTAAAATATAGTTAAATAAAAAAAGAAAATACCACACAGAAATATGGTCCTGTAGGTGTTTTTTTCCCTTGTCTGACCTATGCAAAAATGACACGTTAAACCAAATCATATAACCAACCTGGTAGAAAATATTGTCATGGTTTGAAATAGACATTCTCTAGAGGCTCGCCATCACCTGCGTCGAATAAACAAGGATCATTATTTTCAAGTAACATATTTATTTGATTCACTGCCATTCTCAACTGGCCATGGAGAATTGATTAGCAAGAAATTTTTAGTAGAGAATTTCACAAACTACTTTGGGACTATTACACTAATGACCATAAACTGTACATTTTTTTTTTGCATTTGAGCCACCTTTTTACCTTTATTAATATAAAAAGGTATCTGTCAAAAATGTTATTTTCTTTCATCTTTAGTGTTAAATCAATAAATATTTACCAATTTCTATAAACTACAAAAACACAAAAAAATACCCATTGATATGACAGCTGTCAAAATACAAAGGGATGTATTTTTGAAGAGAGTTCAAAACTTAACTGTCCCTAATTCTATTTAATGACAAAAGCCAACTGAACTTTTTGCATAACCCAATATATCTGCAATAAAAGAAAATGACAATTTCAAAAAATTTCACTATAGAAAGTTATAAAATTGATCCTAACACCCATATAAAGCTACTCTGTATATTAACATGATATAATTGTAGATAAAATCTGTATGACATCTTTTATTGAATGTTGGTACATGTTTTAGGATTTCTATTGCCTTCATCAGCCAAAGATTTACATTGATTTAACTAGTATGATCAAATGCCACAGTATGATACAAACTTATAATGGACGAGGAATAAAAAATTTTCAGAAAGAGAAGATAATTCAGTAAGTTAATAGTATCCCAAATATGGAAGTTTAAAAAAACTGTTCTGGAGCCTCTTTATTGATAGTCAAGCCAAGACATTTGAATTGCCTCACATTTATAAAGGATTTTACTGACCAAATTAATATTTTTTATCAGCATCACAATCATTCTCCAATCAAAAGATGTAAACAGTCATGTAAAAAGCAAATCTTGTCATTGCATATATATTCATCTGTATTTTACAATTTTATTTTTTTCTATATTATTTCAACAAATACTAATTTCACTTTGAAGAAGAGATTGAATTATATTTCCACTGGAAATTCACATATGAAAATAAATTTCTTTAAACTTTTATTTGTTAGCAGAAAAGGTCTGTTTCAGTTACTTATGAAAATTGGTTGTCCCCCACAGTTGCTGGGCATCATCACCTTTTTTCACAAGAACATATAGGGTGTAGTAAGCTATGATAGTCAAACCTCAATGCCCTTCACAATTCAGAGTGGCCTTAAACGAAGATGCAATCTAGCTTTGCATTCAGACAATACAAAGGTGTACACTTACATATAAGAAGTAATGGTAAATTATTCAATTTAACCTGCCTGAGAGCAAAGACCAAAGTGTATATGGTATTCATAAGAGAAATGCTGTTTGCTGATGATGCAGCTCTGACCACACATACCAAACATGACCTCCAAATGTTGATTAGTCAGTTCAACCATGCCTGTAAGGAATTTAGGCTGACTATTAACATAAAAAAAAACACATCATGAGTTCAGATGTGGTGCTTACAGTCAGAAATCACTTCACATATCTGTGCTCTACCATCACCAACAATCTATTGCATGACATGAAAATTGACAAACACATCACCAAAGAGGCAGCATTGATGGCCAAACTGAGCAAGAGAGAGAGAGAATGGGAAAACAGTGAGTTGACCTTGCACACCAAACTAAAAGTATTCCAGGCATGCATTCTTAGTACTCTGTTTTATGTCAGCAAAACCTGGACAACATATATCAGGCAGGAAAAGTGCCTGGAAAGATTCCATCTCTGCTGCCTACGACATATCCTTGGCATCACATGGAGAGATAAAGTTACCAACACTGCCATGCTGAAACATGCACCTTCTCCTTTGTCAGTGTTATCTTTGATGACTGGGTCATGTACATCGAATGAATGATGGCCATTTACCAAAAGACATCATGTACAATGTGTTGACAATGGGACATTGTCTGATAGGCTGACCTACATTATGTTTCAAGGATGTTTTCAAGAGGGACCTGAAACTTACAAGTATTGACTCTGAAAGCGGAACCAACTGTTGAAGATCAGAAGACAAGAGAAATCCACATTCCAGCTTTGTCTGCCACACCTGAAGAAGAGAGTGCCATGCAAAGATTGGACTGTTAAGCCACTCCAGACGCTGCTCATAAAAGGATTAAGTTTTGATCAAAATACACTACCTGTATCACACGAGATAAATGGATGCTTACTACTAAACTTTTATGAGACAATATTACAAAGTAATGAAGAGATTATTAATTGTTTGGTAAAGAATAAGAATTTCAATATAAATCGGAGAAGCACTAACCTGCATCTCCGGCGGACCACCCTCATCTCGTATAAGAAGAAGGTAGCTCTGACCATCAAGCATTACTTCTTTCTTGAATCTGCCACCTGAAAGAAAAGAAACAGATCTTAATTATCAAAAGTATTGACAAAGCAGTAATTCATGTGACAATTACTGAGAGTGAAAACAAGATTGAGTAAGAATATATTTAGTACTAGCTTAAATTGAGTGGCATTTAAGCTAGATTCTGCTCTTCATCACAATAGCTAGGGAGGAGTAGATGCAATAGGCAATAATAAACTACAGAAGAACTCAAAATTGATTGCTCATTTAAGTATTGCATTAATATTTAAGCTTACCTTTTAAAGGTTCAACAATAATTCTTCTACCACCACTTAATTTAAAGACAATGATGTATGTAGGTCCTTACTTTCTGTACAAAAATTTATTTTTATTTCATGGGTGATTTTCACTGGATTTCGCAATTAATTTTGATTATTACCAAGTTATAAAAATTTTTATTGTATAAAAAATTTGTTGCAAAAAACTACATAAGAAAAAAAATAACCAAAAACAATTGCAACAGGGAAAACTTGGAAATTCAAAATTTCAGAATTGTGGGTCTGAGTCCAGCCTAGAATGTTTTTAATTTGCTTGTGGAGTTTGCCTGATTCTAAAATGGTATGATACAGCTTCTAGGGGTAAAGTCGAAAAAGTGTGACACACTGACATTCACATTTATTATATAGATTGTAAGTTAGATCTTCAATTCATTTTAAAATTTTCAACTTTTTTCTTATTTACATTTCTTACGCTCGTCTTCATCAAAAGGACAATAGCCATAACCTAAATAATGTAAATATTGAGATTTCCTCATCCTAGAAATTAAGATAGGATTTTTTTCTTGTACAAATCCATTTTTGTTTATTTCACATTTCATTTCAAATTTTTATGATTTATTCAAAGTGTAAAGAATTGTTCCACAAAAATGAGAGCATTTGACTTTGATGTTTATAACTTTTCAAGTAGTCGAACATCCTCTGTGCTTGATAAGAAAACGAAAGAAAGAAAGACAAAGTTGCAGAGCATAATAGATTATTTTGTTAAAGGACCAATCCCATCAATTCATGAAAATGTAAACACTCAACCAGCTTTTTTTATTTTTAGACAAATGAAGTCAGGAGAGCTAAAAATAATTCTGACAGTTATTCATAAACTTCCTTTCAAATTGAGACCTTATTATTTTAACCTTTCTATCTTCTATGTGTGTGCATATTTTATATATATATATATATATATATATATATATATATGATAGATAGATAGATAGAGAGACTTTACACTACCAAAAATCCCCAAAACCCAATACCTTACATCACAAAAGCAGAATCTTGTCTTGGCAAGATAACACAAACTTTCACATTTGATTGCAACTAAAATCTTTGTACATGTAGAGCATGTTTACATTAAAGACATGTTCTCTTTCTCATGAACCAATAAAAGAATGAGTGTTTTATGTCAGCAATCTAAAACAACAACAAAGTAATATACAGACTTGATTGGATCTCTTCAGCAAATGAATTACAACCAAATTATCACGTGACTTTTTTGAGATTAGAAAAAGGCTGTGATATTGATCAAAATGGACAGATTTTTATATTTGCTACTTGCAATGAAAGTCAAAAATGAATTAAAAGGAAATATCTCGGATTAACCCATCAAATGAAGACGATTAACATGTGGTCATGAAAACATAGCTTTGTATTTATTTGGAGTCAGAGGTAAGGATTCTTCAACAAATTATTTCTATCACAAAATAATAGTTTACTGACTGGATGTAAAATAATTTCTTCCATTTATCAAATCTTTATTTATGGGGAAAAGTTTACCTTGTACGTATAATTACTAAACTTAGTTTGACACAAGTCCAAATAGGAAAGAAGGAATGCTGGAAGATTGTGTTGTGCCAATTTTTTAAGTGGAGATAGTTTCTGCCTGCTTTGTAAATTAGCATTCCAATCTTTAGCTTTGATCTGGGCTTGAATCTGACCCACAAGCATCAGAGAGAATGATGGAACTTGTGCAAGTCTATTTTACACATGAACATTGAGGGCTAGCAAAAGATGATTCAAGAATATTTTTATGGGGAAAAACAAAAAAAAAAAAAAACTTAGGGAACTTGGAAAAATAATTATGCAGGCCTGTTTTAAAATTAATTTTAAATTGCATCAGAAATAAACTTCATTTTATTGGACAAAAATTCTTTTTAAAGAATAATATTGCTAATGCAGTATTTACTTTGACAAAATCCTCACTAAATTTTGAAGGATGTTTTAAAAATTTGAATCCAAATTAGCTCCAGCTTTCATAAACGAATGCAATATAATATAATAGCTATAAGCCTAATTGAGAAAGAGCTACATTGGAAAAATTTGAAGAATGTAGATATAATAAAAATATAAGAACATGAACATAAAAATCTGCTATGCATGTGTTTTGAAAGAATTGGTTCATTAGCAAAAATAAACAGCACAATCTTTTGAACACAAGTGTTTAAGCTCTGAAATTGTTAGTCAAGAATGAAGAGTTCAATCCTTGGAGGATTAGCATTAACAATTTCCATAATAATTATCTGAAGAGCATCGTTGACAATGAGTATAAATTTGATAAAGTTCAAAAGATAGTATGAAAGAAGAAATAGATTAAAATAGATTGATTGATTGATTGATTCATTGATTCATTCATTTTTTCCAGCTTATCAACCCATTGTAGGTTATTCAAAGCCAGAAAATATTTTTAGATTGTAAGAATGTTTTTTTAGATAATGATGATTTAGTGATACAAGTTTTACTAATTAACCCATAGATGGGGGAGAAGGTGGATTCATACCTTTCCCAAGGGTATTTGTGTGTAGGTAAAGATAATGAACCCAACTGCAATTGGAACTTTGCTCTCTGATTAACAATCCAGAGCCATTATCTCATTACAACACCAGCACCTAATATTCCCAAGCAGTCACCCATCTATGTACCGACCAGGCTTGATGTTGCTTAACTTCAGTGACCATACAAGAACCAGTGTTTCAATGTAATGCAGTTGTAAGCCATAAATAAAATTAAAAAGAGTGAGATATTTAAATATATCTTTAATAAACTTCATTCATCTTTAAAGATTGAGCCTTGGGTGAGGAGATGGTGTCAAAAAGTTCTTGGCTAGACCAAGATGAGATTGCAAAAACAATTCCCGTTCTTGGCAAGCTTGTCAGAAAATGGGTCAAACCAAGAACCATTCATACAGTATAAAGTTCATATCAATGCATCAATATCGCTTTATGTAAATATAATCTATAAAATAACAAGCAATCTCTGATAATGAAACTTTCAAGTGAAAATTATCAGTTGAAGACTAACTTCATGCTAATGATTGCTATACGGAATGAATCTCCTTCTAGAAAAAAAACATGCAAAAAAACACTGGGTTCAACAAAATACAAAGCTAAAGATATTACTTTAGTTGTGTGTTGCTTTCAAAAATTTCAGTTTTTATATCACATGCAATTAATAAAAAGTAAAAAACTGTAAAAGCACTCTGAAGAATCCCTTGGCAGATCTTCAAGAATGTAGGACTTGAAAATATTTCGACTTCAAAATAAAGAAGAAATATTTGTCTGAGAGAGACAGAAAGATATTAGGCAAATTGAAAATGCGTTTGTAGTAGATATTTATAGACTGACTAATCAACTTTGTAGACAATTAAAGAAAAAATAACTGAAATATTTAAAGTTTCTCACATCCTTCTTTTTTCTTTTAATATTTAACATCGGATTTATGTCTTGATATTTGAGAAATGTTTCAGGTAAAAGTTGAGACAGATCTGCAAAGCAGGAAGTAATAACTGCTGTTAGAGGTTTCAATAAGAAAATTATTAAACTGTTAAAATTATTTGGATAAAGACTGAAATGAAGTGGGTTTATTTTTCGGAGAATATCAACTCAGTTTCAAGCAATTCATATCAATTGAGAGTTGAAAAGTTAATTAATACAAAGAAACATGGATTCACTTACAAGATGTCAATAAGAGTCATTAGTTTTTACTTGAAAAGCAGTGGGCATAGTTTCAACAAATATGGAATACTTTATTTCAGAAATCACACAGCAATCAATTATCAAATTTGGGTTTGTTGGGATTTTCAAATCAGAACAAACAAATGTTTGTTAACTTTGGAACGTACAGGCACATTGCCTTTTTATGAAGTGGGAAGAAACATTTTACACACTGTTATCACATCTTTTCAAAATGAAATCATAGTAAACACTCAAAGATAGAAAAAAAAAAAAACAAACTTCAGAACTTAAGGCTTCAGAAATCAGTCAAAGGTGAATGATAGTAACAGATGTAAGTTAAATATAAATTGATGATTTTTATATTTTTGAAAGTTCTGAGATAAGCAAAATCCCAAGAGAAAGAAAGCAGTCTAGAAATAAATCAGTTCAAAAGATGAATACAATTTAAAGGCTTGCAATAGAAAAAAAGAAGTGATAAAAAGTTTGCCAATGTAAATGAAACCAACAGCAGAGTAAAAGGTCATGACAGTAATAGAAAAAAAAGGGAGAGAACACAAAACTATTCCTTTTTATTAGAAAATGCTTATTATATAAAAAAAAACATTTAAAGATTCATAATGTAGTCAGTTTAAAGATGGAATCCAAAGCCGTAACTCATTTAAAAATGACAAAACTGCTTGGTATTTAAGTTGAGGTTTTATTAGAAAGACTACATAAAAATACTTCATCATTAAAGTTAATATTTATCATTATCAGTTATTGCTGGTGCATTAAAGGACAAAGGCTTTTTCTAAATCCTTCCATGACATTTGTGACTGTGCTATTATCTGCCATGTCTTACTATCAAATTCTTCTATTTCAGTTCTTCATCCATCTGGATTTTTTCTATTATGTCTGCTACACATTGGGCCATAATCAAGCAACCTTTTACTTCATCTGTTATTGCTTCTTCTTGCCATCTGTCCCGCCAACGGCCATTTTTGTTATCCAATCACTTTTATAATATCTCTTATCTTGGCATGTTCTTTGAGGCCATGTTGAACA